TGGGTTGCTTCCAAACTAACATATCTCCAGCCCAAAAAATACAGGGAAAAGAGTGTAGTATCTGGAATCAGGAGACCTGAGTCCTGGCCCAACTCGATGAATGATAGATATTAGGCAAGCCATTTTACGAACCCTAAATGCTTCCTAACCTGGGCCTTAGGTTCAGTGTTAGTCTCCATTTAAGAGCCCACTGGGGCAGGCCTTCAGCTCCTGAAGTAGTGAAAGGGATGGCCAACAGGCAGCTCCTGCTTTTGCTCAGCTACCTCCAAATTTGACTCTGTGAGGATCCAGGTTCCACTAGATCCTAAAAGTGGGGGATATCCCCCAGGGTCCTAGACAGTTTCTAGTCCACAGTCAGGCTTCTTCTAGTGTCCCCACTACACGATGGAGAAGGTAGAAACACATTTGAATGAACCTTTCCTCCTTCTTCAATTTAAAGCATCAGTACTGAAAGTCTGCTGTTATCAAACCCAACCCACCCATTTTATCTAGAAAGATAAAGATCCAAGAAGGGAGATGACCTGGCCTGGTCGATGCTGAAAGTGTCCACTCATTTCTGGGCCAGGACCCAAAGCTAGTCCTGCAGATTCTTTGAACTTTCATTTGACTTAGATGAGAGATAATTGGAAATAACCTCGGGGTTAGGATCACCAGGGATGGGACTCCATTTCCATTCAAATCCAATTCCATCTAAACCATAACCTCTCCAAACCAGAACCTCCCCCCCTCCCTAAGAAGGTCAGGAACATTCCTAGAAAAAAATCTTGGGAATTAACTGTGCTTCAGGTAGAGTTGAGGGGCTGATTGAATCCCAGTTGTCACTCTTTACCAAATACATATATTAAAAACCGTGGTTCTTCCATCTGGGTAATGACCTTTAGCTCTATCAAACCTACTCTCATAGCATAAATTGGAATCACCCCTTTAGCCATCATTGCATTTCCTAAGCACCTACTAGGTGCCAGAGACAGTGCTAAGGGTGGTGAATCAGAGATGTCTAGAGACACATACCTGTCCTTTGAGCCAACCAGGAAGGCCACCAATGACTGATAATCATGATACAATGGGAAAAGCTCCCCCACCCTCAAAATGGACCTACTCTTTCAGGGAAAGATCTTGCCAGACCAGATCTCAGGGGTGGGAGCAAGAGAAGACCAAGTTCCTCTGGGGTCTGTGACCCACCCACCTGGAGAGTCCTCCCCAGGAAGAGAGCCTCCAGTCCCGCCCATCTAGTAGACATTCATACTTGGTGGGGGGGGGGGTGGCATATTGATGAATGATGTCACAAATGTTTATCATGTATTGACCATGCATGAAATGTGGGGTGCAAAATAAGAGGAAAACAAAAATTCAAGTGCCAGTTTCTGCCATGCCAACACTAATAATCTGGTCATAAACCATAAAATCTGGAGGAAATTGAAGAGTATTGAAGAGTTTGGGCCCCTGAATCTGGGCCCCACCTTTGTGATCTGGGGCTGGGCGTAGCCCTCTCTGCCTTGGTTTGTTCATCTCTAAGAGGGAATAGAGCCAGAGCATGCCCTGGGACTGCAGGCGTGCTACTGATGGGTGGCAGTGTGTTTGATTTGTTTTTCTTTGAAAATCTGAGCATTCTTTTCATTTTTGAACTAGGTTTGTGGGATGGAGAAGAAATGAAGCCAGAATGAGTTGGGACGCTGGGTAATAGAAGCCAGAGGAAACTGATGTGTTAATTGGAGAAAGCGGGATGGGAGAGAGATGAAGAGGAGGGCAGGAGAGGAGCCATCGGGAGGACCACTCTCCCTAGGGTCTAGAGCCAAGGACTTGCTGCTGCCACTGAACAGCCCTAGAGAGAGAAGGTAGGAGTATCAAGGTGCAGGACTACCTGGGTGGCGGCTGGTCAACGTTACTCACATGGGATCACTGCAGAACCCGGAGAGGTTTGTCCCAGACACACTATGCACTGTGAGTCTGGATGAGCCAGCCAGTGCAGCAAAGGCCCCCACTAATGGTTAGTGCTAGATGCAGATGTGGGCATCGCAGAAATCCAGAGCAACCTGGTCTTGGCCTCCTTCCTGCCTAGAGCCGGAGGTTGCTTCCCACTTGCAAGACCGGCTGCTAGCTGTCAGTACTGGCTCCTTGTGCCTCATTCAGGAGCCAACGCTAGGACTCCTGACTTGGTGTGCACTTCGCACACCAAGGAAAGGGCTCTGTTTCTTTAATAAATCCCATTGGAAACGAGGGCAATGTCTCCTAATAGGATTTTTATATTTCTCATGAACCTTGGTGACTCCCCGGAGGTCTCCTGATCTCCAGCGCAGTGCTGGGGGGGACGGGGAGGGGTCTCCTCCCCTCCCCCACCAGGCTCTCCCCCTTCACCAGCAGAAACCCTATAGCAGTTCTGTGCGCGGGAGGGAACTGTGCTTTCTCGGTTTAACGGAGACTTTCTCAGTTCATTTAAAGTCTGCTGTTCTGCTGACTGTGGGCAGTGAGAGGGATGTTTCTGAAGGGAGAAGCATGTGTGAATACGGAGCAGGTGTTCTCTGAAACTATAATAGTGAGAGTTTGTAACGTTAGTGTTTATTTTGTGCCGTCCTACTTCTTTCTCCCCTCTTTCCTGGCAAGGCAGCAAGTTGTTCAACGGAACATAGGCGGTTTGTGCTGAGAGGATGATGAATGCCTGCTCCGTGCACCCACACTGCCACCCCTACAGCAATCTCTCTCACCACCGGAAGTCACCCCGTTTTCCAGGCAGTCAATGCTGCATTGTTAGACACACAGGATTACTGGGGCTGGGGAAGAACGTAGAAAGCATCTCACGGTTACTGACAGTACCACCAGGTTGCATAAAGGAGAAACAGGAGCCTCCGCTTACAAGGTTTGGCGAGTGAACCAGACCTCAGACTTCAGGTGCTTTCTGGTGTATTTATTTCTTCTAACTACTTCGTTTTGTTTTTGCCGCATTCTTTCCCTTCTGGATATCAGGAGCAAATTCGTTTGAGTCTGTTTATTTATTTTTTTATTCAAAACATCTCTTCTTACGCTAGTGATATCATCCCTGGAAGACTGAGATGTAAGAAGAGGTGAATCATATATCACCTTCTCATTGCTTCTAGAATTACATCAGCCAGAGCCCTGGGGCAGTCAGGATAAAGCCAAAAAGTAGAGGAGAGGAAGGAGAGAGGGAGCGCACCCAGAGGGAAAAAAGAGGACTGCCGACTCTTTTGTAGTAACTTTGCTTCCTTCTTCCGCCTTCCCTTTTCCTAGTCCCTCTACCCTATTTATAAGTCAGAGAGCAGGAAAAATCAGACTTTAAAGAGACAGTTGCCTGACATTTATTGATGGTGTTGGCTTAAATGGCATTTGTCTGGACTTTTTGACCAATCACCATACCTCACATCAGTCACAAATGAAAATCCATCTTAGCGTTCCCACCGGACACATAAATAGAACAAGAATAAAGACACACAGACCCTGCCCATTCCCAACGATTAGCAGTATTATCTCCACCAATTGATGTTCTCATCAGTTTCAAATGGAAGGTGTACTCGGCAATGTGTGGAAATAACTGGAAATGTTAAGTCCAATCACCTAGCGAGTGATAGCCCACAAGTTGTCTCCCATCAGGTGAGAACCATGTGGAAGTCACACCGATGTGTGTGTCTGGTCATGTGTGGCTTGACTTTCCCAGCCAAGCTTTGCCTGGAGGCGGGAGTGAGGGGGATCCGAAACTGTCATGACATAGAGCTGAGGTATTCAGGGAGGATAGGGACTCTCAAACAAGCCGAACTAGAATAGACACAACTACAAAAGACATAAAGGCCTGTACTATGTCCTCACGCCCATAAGAAGCAACGCTGAGTGTTTAGTAATTATTTCCCATCCCCACCACAAACATCCATTTCTTTGCTTTTCTAAAGATAATCTGAGAGGTAAAGCACTCCCATAAGTTAAAAAGAAAAATCTTCCACCCTCCCTTCCTCTGTGTTTGCAGTGAATTCCAGACTCCTTAGGATCTCTGGATCTAGCTGCTCAGATCATATTTATGTTGAAAACAAAGTGAAGTAGCCTCAGGACACCAGGGAAGGCCAGGGGTGAGATCCATTTCTGCAACACAGCAAAGGGGCCCAAAGGGGCAAATAACTTGCAGAAGGCACAGTCTTGGCGGCATCTTATTACAACTTCCAGCTGATCGGGTGTAGCCAAACTAGAGACATCTGTTTGGAGTTTACAACAGAAACAAACACAGAGAAAGCATGCAACCCCAAAACACACACACAAACCCAGCTCTAATGGCTCTTGTCTGCCTCACCCTCCACACCAACCCTCCAAGGGGTCAAGCTGGATCGTAGGAAGGAAGGAAATGGGTTCTCACATCTGCCTCCCCACCCACCCACCTGCACCATGACTCACTCAGACCATGATTGGAACTTAGCAATGTTCCTCTCCTTGTCCTCCCAGGAAAACAGAGATCATCCATCTCCTCAAAGTACCACGGGGACTTTGACTTTTTTAGGGTTCCTTGAGCTGCTTGTGAAGGAAACGAGTGTATAATCATCACTCTTGCTTTTCAGCATGACCCACAGAATGAGATGGGAAAACCTCAGAAGGAAGTTGAAAGTTACTCCTCCCTAAATAACCTCATAGATCTGAGAGCGAAGGGGAGAATTCACCCTATATCTTCAAGAATTAACTCAAAGAAGCTAGAAAAATCTCCCATGCCTTCAACTTAACCAATAATATGGGCTATACCTGGCTGCGGGAGAAGGCTGGCCTCAGAGTTGCAGCAGGCCAGAATGGGCCCAGACTAGGCCTAAAGTGTTTCCCTCCTCCCTAGTCACCTGCAAGCCCACAGAGGCCCAAGGCTGTCCACCACAGCATCCGAGGGATGTTCACACCTCTCCCACCCCCTCCACCAAGCTCTTTCAGTAGCAGTTCCAGAGGCCTTAACCTGTTCCGTTAAATTGTCCTCTTTATTCTCTCCCCATTAGTGTGCAAACAGAACCAGGGCAGTGCTACTCTTAAAAAATAACAAAATGTTTTATACACATTTCTGTATATACAACTGAACAACATTTTACATGTCCCTTTTGCACAGCAAAAGATATAAACATTCAGCTCTGAGAACACCGTTCATGTACAAAATAAAAGATGTCAAAATGCTTCACAACAGTGCAAAAATATTTCACACAGTATCATGGAGTGAGAGCTTTTGAGCAGGAGGAAGGTGTGTTTCTAAAGGAAAACTCCTTTTTAAGATATTAGATGTCTTTAACTGTAAACAAAATGCAACTTTCTTTCATCCCCCTCACCACAAACAGTTATTTGAGGAATTTGGCATAATTTCAAGGGTCTGATGCTGAGGTAAACAACCCAAGTTCTTGCACCAAAAAACTCTGGAGCATCAAAGCCTCAAACATTGTGAGAGCAAATTCTTCTGTAAAATGACAAGTGACAGTGTTAGACCCTCCCATTTAGGGGGACTTGGGGAGGAAGTTAACCTCTCCCACTCAGGCCCCAGCTGCCCCAAACAGGAAACAGGCTGGCAGAAACCTCAGACCTGCAGGTCTCTGCTCACTTCAGCAGGCCCTTCCCTTACCACCTACCTCAGAAGACTACCTCCTTCTCCTTCTGAGGTCCACCCCCCTCTCGAGCATCTCCCCACATTTCCATGAGAAACCCGAGTCCCACTTCAAGCAGAGTCAAATGCGCTGACCCGGGAGAGGCTGGGGGAACTGTGAGCCTCATATGTCCCGGTTCCCCTTTCTTGGGAGGGAGAGAGGGAGGTTGTGGAGATGATGAGTGGGGAGTCACGGTAGGGCGCCAAGGGCACGCAGGAAGTTGCACAGAGCTCAACCGGTGGGGGGTTCCTCTGGGTTGGCGCTGTTGGTCACACAGGGCCGGTCCCCGGCAGAGGTGGCGTCGGGGGCCCCGCCTTCGATGGAGCTCTCGCTACCGGTGCTCTCGCCAGACAACAGGCGCGTCACCCGCAAGTCGGCCTGCAGGCTGCGCACATCGTTGCCAAAACTGAGCTCACCCAGGTCGCTAATAAGCTGCGACAGTTCGGCCTTCATGTCGGAGGCACTGCCCAAGAGCAGAGGCGGTGGCCCAGCCCCGGGTCCCAGCGAGACCCCGCCGCCCCCCAGCGCCTCCTCGCGGCCACTCTCTAGCGTGTCTAACAAGTCCCCGCATTCGAAGTGCATGGCCACTACCAGCGCCCGCTGCGCCTCAGCCTCCTCCGCCGCCGCCGCCGGGTCCTCCACCCCGGCATGGCCATCCTCTTCCTCCTCCTCTTCCTCTTCCTCCTCCAGGCAGCCCTCGGTGTGCTCGTCTCCCTCTTCCTGCAGCTCCTGCTCCTGCTGTTCGCCAAGCAGGTCCTCGGTGATCGAGCCGAGCTTGGGCGCGCTGCGGCTGCGCTCCACCGGCGGCTTGTAGCAGCAAGGTCCGTGCAGGAGCAGCTTGCGCAGCGGCACTAGCGGGATAGTGTGCGCGCCCACCAATTCCTGCTGCTGGTGACGCGCGTCGTCCCGTCGCTTGAGCCGTTTAAATTCCGCCAGTGCGTTGGCCGACGTCTGGTAGAGCAGCAGGGCCATGGCCTGGGCCTTCTCGGGCTTAGACACCAGCACCGCGTGGCAGCGCAGCATCACTGCCTTGTGCTTCAGCTCGTGCCGGTACACCCAGGCGAAGACCTTGGGTAACCGCGCGTCAGCCACGCAGTAGGTAACGCGATGCAGCAGGTAGAGGTGTCCTGGGCGGCGCAGGGCGCGCTCCTCCGCGTGCACCATGCGGATCCCCTGCGCACTCACAGTCAGTTTCATCTTGGTGCCCTGACGGCCCGCCTCGCTCTTGCTCCAAATCTTGCCCACCGCTAGGTCGGTGCAGCCGTCGCCGCGCGCCTGGATGGTGGTGGCATTGCCCAGGTAGAGCACGGTGTAAGTGGGGTCCTCGCTGGTGATGTGTAGCTTCTTGCGCTTGGAGCGGAACATGCTGCCCACCCGGCTGAGCGCGCCTTCGGGGCACGCCCGCGCCAGCGAACTGAGCGCGGAGTAGTGCAGGCTCACCGCGTAGCCCTTGGGCTTGGCCGCCTGCCGCGGCGGCGCCTCGGCCAGCAGCTCGAACTTGTGCTTCTTCCACGGCAGCATCTCCGGAGGGCGCCCCGGCGCAGCTGGGCGGCGGCGGAGCGCGGGGTGTGAGCCCGCTGAGCCACCGGCCGCGGCTGGGCTCGGCCCGGCGATTCCGAAAAATAAAACTCGGTTGGGAGTGGCCGGGTGGTTGGACGTGGGGGTGGGAGCGTATAGTGCTCGGGAACCCCACAGAGGTAGGGCTGGAGGTTTTTTAAAGATATGGAAGTATTCGGCAGTGGGGGTGCTGGGGAGAGAGAAAAGCGCACTCACAGATTTACCCCAGCCCCGTAAAGGACGAGGGCGGAATCTCCGGCAAGCAAAACGAGAGAGTGGAGCGGAAAATGTCTTAGTAAAAGAGATGCGCGCGCGCAAATAAATAAAAGCCCCCAATAAAAGCAGCCGGGATGGTGCGAGAATCTGCAGGAAAACCGCGGGGAATGTCAAGAGGGTCCTCCCCCCTTGCCACCCCCGCTCACGCACTCAAACACACACACTCCCTCCCTCCCCGAGGCCAGCGCCAGAAATCGCGGAAACTCCACGGCTAGGGTGCCGAGGGGCCAGAGCTTCCCACCCCCAGGGGGTGTTGGAAACAAGCTGGTCGGGTCTCAAAATCAGCTGCTTGCCCCAAGAGCGATCAAACGGTGGGTCCGGCTGGCGGCGGCTGGCCCCGTGCAGCAGCAGCGCCTTGGCTCACTGCATCTTCACGCCGGCCAGACGCCGGGGATTTGGATTCCGCCGGCTCACTGTCCCGCCCGGCTCGGTCCCGGCAGAGCGGGGCTCCGGGGACGGGGCGCGCCCATGGTCGGCTCCCGCGACGACCGCTACTTCATTGCTTCCTCCTGCTGTCGGGTCCAACTCCAGTCCCGGGCTCCCCTCCGGCAGCTGCCCGCCTTTGTAGCGCGCCCCCTCCGGTGCGGCGAGACGTGGCCGGACGACCAGCCTCACATCCTTGCCGTCCGAGAGGAAGATCTCGGGTAAATATAGGCCGGCACAAACCATTCGCAGCGCGGGGACAGGGGAGAAGCTGAGGACAGGATCCGTTTCGGGCTTGGGCGCCCCGCGGGTTGCTGGTCTCTTAAAGGGGCCTAGTTGCAGCCATTGCTAGAGTTAATGCTAAAACAAGTCTAATTCGGCAATTCATCCCAAAATTACCATCCTGTCTTTTCTCTGCAAAAATCACCGAGACCTGGGGTTACCCGGCAGGAAAGGCAACTCCACCCCCAAGCTGAATTGCAGCTCACTGAATGTCTCCACCAGAAACTTCTGGTGGATATGATGGAAGGTGGGATTTGCAGCTACAATTTCTTTTGCAAAAGAAGGTTTGGAAAGTAGTGGTTTTTCCCCCTGTGACTGTTCTCTGGGAATGACTGAATGCTGTTGATACAATCCCCCCCCCCCAACACACACACCAGGATTTTATTATTAAAAAAAAAAACAAAAACAAAACAGGAAAGGCGAAGAATATGCCAAGACACACCATTACCATGGAACCCTTTCTCCTCAGTTAAGAAACAAGGTGAAAATTGAGGAGTGCTATGGGATGGTTGTCCTGAAAAATAGAGCAGGTAAATAAGGTACACTTCACTGCCTCCCCACCCCACTATCCCCTCCTGCAGTCAGGTCTGCATGTAGAGCAGTTTCTGAGAAACCTACAGTTTCTAAGTCTTCTGTAAGGTTAGAATTCAGTTTACTTTGGCAGGCCAGTCATTCCGTTGTCAACCAGTCGTTTTATCGTTGACATTTATTACATCATTTTGGATGAAAATTCATAGAAAAAAGTTGACATTTTTTATTTGAATGTCAAATAATGCCCACCACATTTCATGCTTTTTCCTGTGCTAGCTGGACGATGTAATTGTAGTCAGCGGCCTAGATTGACCCTTGGTTAGTCAACTCATTTCTGGGCCCTTGACACAACTTACTTGCCTCTACTGTTTCTTCAGTCAAAGCAAGAAAACACCTAGCTGGAATGTGTGATAAATATCCAGATGATCAAACTTCTAGGCTGGTCCTGGAAGACAGTGGACCCACTCCCCCCCACACCCCCCCCCACAGGCCCAGTCCACTGATAATCTCAGCTTTTGTGGTGGGTGCTAATTTCAGAACCATTGTAGTTCCTCCAAAGGATCCCCTGGCCCTCAACCTCAGCCAAATTTTTACCTTTCTTTGAACTCTGGCCCAGTTTTCTATCATTGGTACAGAGTTTTCATTTAACTAATTTTTCTGAGTACCTTCTGGTGCCAGGTCTGAACTAGGAGCACCAGGAAGCTCTCAGACCTATGAAGGGACAAACTCCACCCAACTCTGGGCTTCCACTGCTCAGCGTAGGTATCTCCTAGTGTCTCATACAACACCCAACTTGTTGCTGAATTAATGAGTGAGGCATGCATACGAACAAGAAGATGAAGTGAGTCATACATCCTGACAAAGGCCCCAAATACATGAGAAACTGGAAGATGAAGCAGTTCGTTGAGAACAGATAAATCAGAAAAGTCTTCACAGAAGTGGTGACATTTGAAGGATGAACAGTATTTCCCAAAACAGGAAAGGATAAAAGGGCTTCCTGGGCATAGAGAAGAGAAAGAATGTGGAAATATGCACATTAGGATGGAGTTTTAATGATTGTAGCAATGAGGGAAAAATATTTTCTGATCAAGTAAGAAAGTTTCTTGATCATGCTTCTTGAGCCCTCTAATCTCTGAGGGAAGGAATGGTCTTTTCATGGTCAACTGGCTGAAAGTGTCATTAGAGCAGCTCTGATGCCATATTCTGAAGCCATACTGATGGTTAATGGAGGCAGAAAGCAGGCGTGGTATTGCAATGAGCTAGTTAGTTCTATAATAAGCCATTTAAGCCAAGGTTAACTCCTCTTCTGCTCAAATTTCTGGAATATCTTGCAGATGCGATGAAGTACGTGCTCCAAACAAAAAATTCCAGTGAAAACACATCAACTTAACCTGCCTTGACTGCTCTCCAGCTGGCACATAACCTCAAAGAATAAACTCGCAGAAATAGACATCATGTTTAAGCAGTTAATGTTTCCAAATTGCTCAGAGGTCCGAGAGTCAGAAAGACTGGAGGTGCAGAGAGAGCTAAAACTGCTATCATTCTCTGCAAGGGCCACCACCCTGGACCTCATGTGTTGGCAGGAAACCAGTGGACTTCAGTGGCAAAGAGGATTCCTCTGGTAGGCCAGACTTTTTAGAGGCAATGAGCATGTCGGTCCCAGATGCACTCACTGGCCCACACTAAAGCACCTGTGGACTGGTCTTTGCCACATCTGGACTGTTTTTCACACCTTCTTAATAAGTTTGTTTTCACCCTCAAAGGACATTGAAGTTCTAGGCAAAGGAACTAAGGCAGAGGCCCAGGCTGTCTCCAGGGGCCTGGGCCTAGCCTGCTCATTGCCTGTTTATCCTGGAAAACAGGCTGCCTCACCTCAGAAAGTACATAAAACAACTAGGGCTGTTTCTCCAGCTGAGGAAGCTGGTGGCGCTATTTCTGAGCCCACATCTCAGGTCTAAGACACCGGGCAGTTCCAGAACAGAACAGCAAAGTCGAGTTAGGAAAGGACTAAGAATTGCATGATTGCAGGCTGAGCTTTTTTTAATGGCACTGCCCCACCTACTGGTGCCTGGAAGAAGTGCCACTTTGCGAGATGGTTTCTCCTAGAACCTGCTAAGCCAGTGGTTGAATCAACACTCAACCATGTCAGAGCCAAAAAGAAACCCAGCGTCTAGCCTGACATCAGAAAGTTAGCTTTTAGCTCCCAGAAAGCTTCTAGCTGGCTTTCTCTTAATTTATTTCTTGTCCAGTGCTCCTGCTCTGCATCCCTCCCCAGTATCCCAACGAATGAGCTTTGACTTAGAGACAACAAATAATGGGTCTGAAATTTTCAAAGTCATTCAACAATTATTTCTTAAGAGTCTGTTGTGGATGTTGTGTAGTTGTGGTGGATTGAGCTCAAGAAAACAGGGCTTTCCCCTGTGCAATTTATCTCTATGCACCCATATTATGCTGATAATAAACAACAAAATATCAGATCATGCTAAGTCTTTAAAGAAAGGGAAGCCTTGTCAGGAGTAGAAGGTGGCTGGCTTGGACCACATAGCTATGAAAGGAGTCTCTGGGCAGAGACCCAAATGACATGGACCTCTCAAAGATAGGGGGCAGAATGTTCTAGAAAATGTTGACCAATATAATGTGAACACTTGAAATGTAGTTGGTCCAAATTGAGGTGTGATACAAGTGTGGAATACTGGATTTTAAAGACTTAGTAAGATGGAAGTATCAAAGATCTCAGTTTGTAGTAATTACAGATTGAATAATATTATGATTATGTTGCATTAAACAGATTATCCTTTACCTTCTCTAATGTGGAAACTAGGCCATATACAACTACACATATGGACAGCACGGTGCCAGGCAAAGGGCATCGCTACTGTGAAGTCCACAGAGGGGCAAAGAGCCCATGGGTTTAAGGACTCTCACTTTAAAAACCCCCAGCATGATGATAGCCTCTTATCTTTCCAGCCCTCTTCACTCTTGACTCAGACCACATCAGTCCTTCAGCTTGCACAGTACATCTGAGATTTACATCAGTCTTCCTCACAGTGTCAACTCTGGCTGATTCAAATCCCTGAGCAAATTCCCGAGTCCCACCCCTAACTCAGAACTTCTGGAGTTGACGGCAAGGAATGAGCATTAAACTCCTCCAGGACTGAACATATATGAGAGTTTGGCATCTCTATCTAGCCCACATCATTTCTTCCACTATTAATGCTTTCCTTTTCTCTTCTCTTCCTCTTCCCTCCCATCCAAGAACTTCCAGATGAGCTTCAGGTCCACATCGGGTCCACAGATATATACCACATTTCCCCAGGGGAGCCCCAATCTTAGACCACGACCTGCTTCTGGAGCTGGATACCGTGTCAGTGTGTGGTAAGTATTTGCGGAATGAATGTTAACCACTATCACAAGCACAGAAGTACAATGTCAGTACTGGAAAGGCCCTTTATATGATCTAGTTGATCTCCCTTGACTTTACATATAAGGAAGATGAGTCCCTACGAGTGCAGGTACATGGTCATAGTTATGTACAAGCCAAGTCAAGATTAGGACCTACAGGTCCCGATATCAATTCTCTCATCTGCAAGAAATGGCTCCTGCACATGAGGGTTAGTATCGATCACTAATAACTTGGGTAAAAGCAACGCAAGGCACTTAACTTCAGGCAAACATAAAACCAGAAACTTTTAAACTCAAAAATGTGCAGAATACATGTTGTACTCTGTGTCCCCGTCCATGAAGGGCTGTGTTGGAATTCATGGAGGACTGAGCAGGAGCAGTCCTGTGTCCAAACACAATTCTCCTGTGTCCTCACCTAGCTGCCACTTCCTGGCCTCTGAATGAAATGTCCCCTGGTTACTGCCTCTGTAGCGCCAGCAGGCTTTCTATGATCCGGTAAAGGAGGCGGCCCAGAGCCCTCAGTGGCTTTTCAGCTTTTAGTGATCTTTCTACACCATTTGTAGTAAGGTATGGGGGTGTGGGGGGGAGGGGCTTGCCAGACTTGCCAGCCCCCTGAGGATCTTCACTCCTTCTGGGCTCTTTGGCGTTCTCTCGTGGCCTCATCGCTAGTCTTTACTGCTCTCTGCAGTGCGGCCTCTGAGGCCACGCTGTTCTCTGCTGTCGCCCTTATAGGCACAGTCTCTTATAAACTCAGGTGCTCCCACTCACATGTGCCCAAGGCACAACCCCGGTGCCGCCATCAGGCACACGTGTAAGACCACAGGTGTCAGCTATTGATGCTACTTGGGGAAGGGTGGGAAAACCTGATCGCTTTCATTTACCCTACACTCTCCCTGTCACTCACGATGTTCTAGTTAAGCATGATTGTCATGGGAGCTGCAGTGGTT